AAAGACAAGACATACCCTGGAAGAAAATTTGTATAATTGTATATCTCATAAAGGATTTTTATCCAAAATGCACAAAAACCTCTCAAACTTAACAATGGAAAGCAAAAATCTCAATCAAAAACAAGGAAAAGGTCTGAACAAACACCTCATCAAAAAATATGCACAGTTGATCAATGGCCTTGGATATGGCAATGACATTTTAGATACATCAGTAAGAATGTGTCTACTTGAAAAGAAATAATTGATGAAAGAAATGATTGAATAGCTGGACTTCATTGAAATTAAAAACATCTGCTCTGTGAAAATTACTGTCAAGATAGTAAGATAAGCAATAGACTAAAAGGAATTGGTTTTTAAAGGCATATCTGATAAAGGACTATCATCCAAAATATGCAGAAAAACTCTTAAAATTCAACAAGAAAATGAGCACCCAATTTAAAAATGGGCAAAAGATCTGAACTGACAACTCACCAAAGGTAATATACTAATATACTGATGATAAGTCAACATATAAAAAGCTGTTCAACATATTGTCATTAGATAATTGCAAATTAAGAAAACATTCATTAACACTTCACACATTTTATCATGGGTGAAGTACAAAAAAGCAACAATAACAATTGTTAGTGAGAATGAGGAGCAACAAGATCTCTCATATTCTCATTTATTTAATAACAGAAATGCAAAATGGAAAATGGTACAATCATTTTGGAAGATAGGCAATCAAAAGATCTAATTATAGTTTTATCATATAATCCCATAATTACAGTCTCAAGCATTTACTCAAGTGATTTGAAAACTTATATCCATACAAAAACTACATGCAATTGTTTATACAAGATTTATTTATAATCACCCAAAACTGGAAGTATCCAAGTTGCTCCTCAATAAGTGAAAGGATAAGCAAATGGTGGTACATCCATACAATAACTTACTCTTCAGTGAGAAAAAGAAATGAGCTATCAAGCCTCAAAAACACATAGATGAATCTTAACTGCATATTTCTAAGTAAAAGAAACTTATCTGAAATGGCAACATACTAAATGAATTCAGTTATATGATATTCTTGAAAAGGCAAAGCTATGGAAAATGTATAAAAATTAATGATTACCAGGAACTGGTGTGGAAAAAATGATGCTTACATAGATGAAGCAAAGGGATGTTAAGGCAATGAAACTGTTCTGTGTAATACTGTAATGGTGAATAATGGCACTATGGATTTGCCAAAACTCATGAAACATTACAGTATAAAGAGTAAATTTTAACTTGTTGAAAATGTTTAAAAAATAGTTTAAGAGATCAGAGAATCACAGAATAAAATACAGAATATGACCAAAACACCAAATTGTATTTTAAATATATGAAATAATCTCATTGAAAGGTATGGGTTGAAAGTTGCTAGCCTAAGTAACTTTGAAATTACTGGAGTTTGTAAGACTAAAGACAAAAACAAAACAAAACAAAAAACCAAATAACTGTATAAGCATTGTTAATAAAATGGTTTCCCATAGTGCTACAGGTTAACAGTTCTGATAGTATAACAGTTCTGATAGTGCTCGATGTGCATATATGTAGCATGCACATGAATTGAGCAATTAAATAAATGGATGATGGATTGTTGAACCAGGATTCTTACTGCTGGAATGGGAGGTTACAGAAAAGCAAGAGAAGTAGTCTAAATTGATCCATATCGTGATGAAAATATTAATATAAACTGACTTTTAGTTTAATATAGATTCATAAGGTTACATATAAAAATATTTACATATCTGTGTCTACACAAATATTAACAGGCACATATGCATATCTTGGGTCTGCCCCACTGCTTCTAGGCCCTCTAGCAATGAGTGTATCCAGAACCCAGATCTTAGTATCATTCTTCAACAAAAGGATCCAGGCATAATTGGAGAAATGCCTAATTACAGGACTGTGGTAAGGAATATTCAAGATGATACTGTAGCCTCTGGTGCTAAGTCATATTGACAGTATGGATCTTTGATATGGTTGGACAAAAATGGTGCCTTACCTCTCTTATTCCCCAAAACATGTAACACTAATCTAATCTGAGAAAAATATTATATAATCCCTATTAAAGTATATTATACAAAATATACTTTATATTTTGTGCAACATACCTAATCAGAGTCCTAATCACATGAGATTGAGGACTACTGTTCTAAGAGAAGGAACTCAGGAATGGAAAGCCAAACATTGTATGTTCTCACTGATATGTGGGAGCTAAGCTATGAAGATGCAAAGGCATAAAAATAATACAATGGACTTTAGGGTCTTGGGGGAAGATTTGGAAGGCACAAGGGATAAAAGACTGCAAATATGGTGCAATATATACTGCTTGAGTGACGGGTGCACCAAAATCTCACAAATCACCACCAAAGAACTTATGTAACCAAATGCCACCTGTACCCCAATAATCTATCGAAAAATACAAATAAATAAATCGAAAATGCGAGGAGAAAGCTTCATGACACTGGTCTTTGGATATAACCCCAACAGCACAGGCAACAAAAGCAAATATAGACAAATGGGATTATATAAAACTAAAAAGCTTCTGCAGAACAAAATAAATAATCGACAAAATAAAGAAATAACCTATAGAATGGAAGAAAATATTTGCAAGCTGTATATTCGATACAGGGTTCATAGGCAAAATATAAAAGGAACCCAAACAACTCAACAGCAAGAAAGCAACCTCATGAAAACATTTTGAAAAATAACCTGAATAGACATTTCTGAAGAGACATGCAAGTGGAATCTAAAAAGGTACTCAATATCACTAATTATCAGGGAAATGCAACTTAAAGCCACAATAAGTTGTCATCTTCCACCTATTAAAATAACTACTATAAAAAGGGCAAAAGACAAGTATTGTCAAGGATTTTGAGAAAAGAAAACTCTTGCATATTGTTGGTGATAATATAAATTAGCACAACGATTATGAAAAACTCTGTGGAGGCTCTTCAAAAAATTAAAACTGGAACTACCATATGATCCAATAATCTCACTACTGGGTGGCTCATGCCTGTAATCTCAGCACTTTGGGAGGCTGAGGCTGGTGGATCACCTGAGGTCAGGAGTTTGAGACCAGCCTGACCAACATGGCAAAACACCATCTCTACTAAAATTACAAAATTAGCCGGGTGTGGAGGTGCATGCTTGTAATCCCAGCTACTTGTGAGGCTGAGGCAGGAGAACCCAGAAGGCAGAGGTTTCAGTGAGACAAGATCAAGCCACTTGCCTCCCAAAGTGCTGGGATTTCAGGCATAAGCCACCACCACACCAAGCCAAGTTTGCATTTTGATTTGATTTTCAGCTTGAATGTTATTCGTGTATAGAAATGCTACTGAGTTTCCTGTGCTGATTTTATATCCTGAAATTTTACTCAAGTCATTTATCAGGTCTAGGGTCTTCTGGAGGAATTATTAAAATTTTCTAGGTTCAGGATTATGTTTCAGTAAACAGAGATAATTGGACTTCCTCTTTTTCTTTTTGGATGTCTTTCATTTCTCTCTCTTGCTTCATTGCTCTGGCTAGGGATTCCAGTACTATGTTGAATAGGAGTGCTGAGAGAGGACATCCTTGTCTTGTTCCAGTTTTTAGGGGAATGCATACAACTTTTGCTAGTTTAGTATGATATTAGCTGTGGGTTTGTCATAGACAGCTATTATTATTTTGAGCTATGTTCCTTCAATGCCTAGCTTGTTGCCTATTTTTGTCAGGATGGGATGTTGGATTTATTGACTATTTTTTCTGTGTCTATTGAGATGATAACAGGGTTTTTGTTTTTAATTCTGTTTATGTGGTGCAATCACATTTATTGATTTGTGTATGTTGAACCATCCTTGCATCCAGGTAGGAAGCCCACTTGATAGTTGTGAATTATGTTTTTGATGTGCTGCTGTATTCAATAACCAATTTTCTTAATAATACATGGGAGTTGAGGGACTCATTAACTATAGCAGCTGGGATTAAACACATTTTTTACAGTTCTCAAATACCTCTAAAAGTCATTTTCTTGGATATAGGCGAGAGAAGTAAAACCTTCTGTGAAAGAGACAATGGAAAGATAAAGACAATATTACAGGTTTTCTCATAAAGGAAAACCAAGACATTAACAATTCACATGTAGTCATTTGCCAAATACCTTATAAAAAGGCAGTATTACACTATTGTAGACCCTTGGTTTGTTATTTTTTTCATTCTATCAGTAGAAAGGCAATTTTGCATTAGTTTGAGGAATCTGAACACAAATACGAATTGCCTTATAGACCATGGTCTTTCTTTTAAAAATATTGGCAGAAACAGAAAAGTTCTCTGTTAAATAATTTATTTTAAGGAAATATTGCAGAAGGAAAATATAAATAATGTCAACTGTTTGCACTTTGCTCTTTTTTTCTAGGAAAGCTAAGACAAAAAGCAATACAGTGTTAATTCAAATAGCAGAGATAATATCTCTGACTGCACATTTATCTTGCACTTCTATTTAATGTTTACACATATTTTAAGTACATTTTATTGACAAATACAAGGAGACATTTTAATCATGATTTTAGTTTTATAACATGTTTTTCCTGATGACACTGAAGAAAAAATTTTAGATATGTTAATTAGAATATATCATTTATATATTTCATATAAAATTAATTTCATAGTTGAATGTGGTTTTTAGAAAGCATCTTAATTTATAGCTATCTGTATGTTATAAATGAATTTATAATCTATTTTGCCTTCATATAATAAACAATAGTGATTATTAATTTACCTAAAATTTAGTTATATAGGTGAGAGATCAAACACTTTCTATATAGTTTAAAAGAGTTATATCTTGGTTTTTAGGCTAATTAAATAAAGAAGTGTTGATTATATGTAACTATATCTAAATAAAGGAATGAAATAAGGTATTGAGAAAGCTTATGTAGAGAAGGGTAGAGAGTTTTTCATTCAGCTTTGCCTTCTGGGGTACATTTTTTATATAATCACATTCATTTATTTAAAGAAAAGATCATCTTCTGGATCATGCTTTTAAAGGCTTGCTTCACTTGCTGATTTCTTAGTGTGTATATGAAGGGATTCAAGAGAGGAGCCACTGAGGTATTGAGCACAGCTACTCCTTTGCTTAAAGTCACCCTTTCTCTGGCAGAAGTCTTAATGTACATGAAGATGCAGCTACCGTAAGAGATGGAGACAACTATCATATGGGAGGAGCAAGTGGAAAAGGCTTTTTTCCTTTGCTTACAGAAGGAATTCTCAGAATTGTTCGGATGATGTTTGTGTAGGAGAGAATAACTAATGTCAAGGTGACCATCAATGTTATCACAGCTAAAAAAAATGCCATGAGTTCTAGAAAGTGAGTGTTTGTGCAAGAAAGCTGCAGAATTGGAGAAGAGTCACAAATAAAATGATCAATTATATTGGACGCACAGAAATTCAACTGCAGCAGAAGCATTACTGGTGGAAAGATGATCAGAAACCCTGCAAGCCAGGAGCTAAAGACAAGAAGGATACAAACCCTGGTGCTCATGATGGTTGTGTAATGAAGAGGTTTGCAAATGGTCACGCAGCGGTCATAGGACATGGCAGCCAGAAGGTAAAATTCTGTCACCCCCAAGAAGATGAAAAAAATAGCTGAGCCACACACCCATTATAAGAAATGGTTCTGTCTCCTGTCACAATGGTGACAAGGAATCTGGGAATGCAGACAGATGTGAATGAAATTTCCAGGAATGAGAAGTTCCAAAGGAAGAAATACATGGGAGTCTGTAGATGGAGATCTGTAAGGGTGAGGGTAATAATGATCAGGTTCCCAGTCACACTTAACATGTAGGTAACAAGAAGAAATATGAAAAGTACAAGCTGCCACTGTGGGTCACTTGTCAATCCAAGAAGAATAAAGTCTGTTACTGCTGTTGAATTTCTCATTTTTTTTTCTTTAGAAAAGTATTCTGTATTTTAGCTGTAAAATAGGTGAAGAAACCAGAAATCTATGACATCAGTAAAGAAAATGAGCAATTTTTTTCTGTCTGGATATTTCCATTTGCCATAATGCCTTTCAGGTTCATCCATGATGTCACAAATGGCAGTGTGGCAGTATCTTCTTCTTTTATATGGCTGGATAACATTCCATTGAATCCAGCTCTCCACCTATGCATCTATCTATTTAATACATAGGTATATATTCTAATATCTTGAAAGGGTTTAAATGAGTAGTTATTTATGATGAATAAATCTAGAGAGCTAATGTATAGCACAAAGGTTACAATTAATAATGTATTGTATAAGAAAATAACTATGGGATGTGATAAAATAATTTTGCTTGGATGTAGTAATCCTTTCTCTTTCTATATATATAAAATACATATTTATACATATAAATATTATGTTATATACCTTAAATATATACAATGAAATTAACTGTAGGCTGGGGGCAGTGGCTCATGCTTGTAATCCCAGCACGTTGGGAGGCTGAGGCAGGTGGATCACCTGAGGTCAGGAGTTTGAGATCAACCTGGCCAACATGGTGAAACTCTGTCTTTACTAAAAATACAAAAAATCAGTGGAGCATAGTAGTGGGCGCCTGTAATCCCAGCTTTCAGGAGGCTGAGATAGGAGAATTGCTTGAACCTGGGAGGTGGAGATTGCAGTGAGCTGAGATTGCATCACGGGCAACAAGAGTGAAACTCCATCTTAAAAAAAAAAAAGCCAAAAACCAAAAACCAAAACCTAACTGTAAAAAAAGAGCTTTAAGTAACCTAATTGTTGCTTTTTGCTTATAGAGAAAAACAGTTTTGTAGTACATAGATACCAAACACATTTTTAAAACTCTGTTATTTCTTACCCCATAAATTAATTATTTCTGTATTTCCTTCATTATATTTTTATACGCTTCAGGATAAATCTCTATCTTCTAAATGTTTCATCATGTTCCCTGAAAACAAGAAAAAAGAAATTAAAACTTCTGAGATTAAGACATTTTCAAATGAAGCCCTTGAGAACTCATGGCCAGCATACTACGGTACTCTTTGAAAATTTTTTTTGTTGTTTTCTTCTTCATCTGTTTGTTCTTTTTCTATTTTGAATAAGCATCTCTTTCTCCTCCCTCATTCAAATTTTTATAATCCGCAAAGACAACTCAGTCATCCAGAGACATGTCTCTGATAATGGTATACAGAATGGTTAGTGGACAGAAGAGTAGACTCAGTCTAATATTAATGTTTTTACTGCAAGACATTGTAGTTTTAACTACCAATTTGATATAATGGTATCTTGTAAATATACTCTTCCTGAATATATTTTTATTTACTAAACACTTATCATGAGTCTGCTCTCTGATATATAAAACAGCACTTAAAGAAAAAGTGCTCATTTTATTTGTAAACTGTAAGTGCCCTTATTTCTCTTATTTCTAGAATGATATGGTGCTTTTCCATGACATTGCCAATATTCTCCCTGTGGAATCATGAATGTCATAGTTTAACATTCAAGGTATTTTTTAGGAGGGAATAATTATTATTTTTTCTTTCTTCCCAATCTTAACTGCTGATATCACTCACGATGTAATATAAAATTTGTTTACTTGTTTGTTCATGTTAAAAGTTATTATTTGCTAAATATGCCATTATTTAAGTCTGTTATTCCTCACTTGTTTTTTAGATTATTCATAGGTGTCAGAACTATCAAATTGAATAACAATTTATCTGAATTAGCCAACTAATTTAACATGTGCATAAACTTACCCAAAATTTTTACTCATAAAATTTCTGGGAGGAATGTAACCTCATTTTCTATTACCTAATCTTTTTGTGGTCATATGATATGCAGCTTTTTGTCTTTTGCTTTTATATGATGGGTGCTAATCTTGGCTATGTATAATATTTACATTGTGCAAAACTGCAAAACAAAGTATATCTGCTCACTATGAAAGCACATGAAATAAGTTATCTTGAATTGTGTACAAAAATGATCTCATGTTTTTTTGATATTGGTTGTATTATAAATCATTATTACCAGATATCTAGATAAGAATACAAAAAAATCATGTAGTCCTAACAATCAAAAAATACTTACACTATAATGGGCAAAAATATTGCATGAAACTTTTGATGTAGCATATTCTTTACATTGTCTTTTCTTTGTATATTTCACTTAAATTGTGTGGTTTAATTTTATTAACACATAATGTGAAAACAAATTATGTAAAACATTAATATAAGATATTAAAGCAAAAATTATATTCCTGAAAAAACATACTTACTTTTTTGGTATATATGAATGGTTTAGTGTATCTTATCTTATTCATTGCTTTAACAGAAATGCTGTTGTATTTTTCAAGAACTTTGCAATCTGCAATCTGTTTTTCCTCTATCATTGTATTTGTAACAAAATATCCAAACTATTGATAATAAAGAACAATTTCAAGAGCTTCCTTATAACGTTTACAACACAGTCATACATAAACATATTTTTATACATCAACTCAAATTTCACCAAGGATCTGAGGTCTCAGTATATCCTACCTATTGCCACTTCAAAAAGTATTATCTTGATATTAAATTTTAGTTGAAATGAAGGCTAATGTAGTGTCTTTCCAAGCTTGATGGATAAGAAGAAATAATCTTCTGTGCAGAAGCAATGTTATTCAAGCTAGCCCCAATTTTATCTGCTCTGTTTATAATGGACTCAGGGGGATTAGCTAAATGAATAAATAAAAGGCACCATTAAGATTGGTGTTCTCATGATGCAAACCACTAAATAATAGTCCAAATTGGTATACAATTTAGAATAAAATATTTAGGTCATAAAGTATCCTGAAATTAGAGCAGAAAAATATATAAAAGAATTTATATTTATATGATAATCTAAGATGTCAGTAATATAAAAAAATAAATAATGAAGTAAAAATAAAAATGATCAGTAGTCTTTAAATGGTAAACTACTAAACTGTAAATGAGTTATTTTCTATTTTAGGGAAATGTTAAGAATTTATTCTGATGCTTTAGAATGGGCCAGAGGTCTCCATTATTTCACATCATAAAAGGTTTCAGACTTGTGTTTAAGACTTTAAATTTTCCCATTGACCAATAATATAGAAAGCCAGATTGTGATTATAATGACTAACATTTATTTATTCAATATTGAGATGATAATATCAATAGATATTGATAAAGATGGAGATGATAAAGACAGCTCTTTCCATAATTTTTACTTATTGCAGAAAATTGTGAAAATTCTACATTATTTTTGAAGCTTCAGAGTCCCTTTGAAATCAGCCCTATTGTTTTATAGAAATGATATTTATGATTTCTTTGGAATAAACATAGAAATGGACTCTTCTAGTCTTAAAACTTGAAAGGTTACAATAGTCTTATCTGAGTTCCTTTCTCAGAAAATCAACCATCAGTTCTCCCAATAGTACCAAGGAACTGAACCTTGCCAGAAGACTGCATCTGGACAATGAGATGCCAGATCCCTCACCCACTTCACCCATCATGATTGCTTAACCAACCACCCCTGCTTTCCGTTATTCAACTCCTCTTCCTTACCCTTCCCTAATTCCAGTTTTCCCACACATGGTTACGTTTCTTCTCTGCCATGTAAACTTCTTAATTTCAATGCACAGGGAAATGGATTTGAGACTGATCTCCTGTCTTCTTGGCTACAGCACTTGAATAAGCCCTCTTCCCTGACAATTCTTGTTGTCTCAGTGATTGGCTTTCTGTGCAATTGGCAGCAGGACCTAGACTAAACCCATGGAGTTTTAGTAAAAGCTTCTTCAAAAGCAACATTCTCCTACATAAGTCAACTTATTATTCATCACATTGATCTGAAAAGACATTTATAATGGCCTCTTTATATTATTATTTTGAAGCCTATATTTAGTTGATATTTAATTTAGGAGTTCTACAAACTACACAAATAGCTCGAACTTGATGGAGATTGGAATTTGAGGATCATAAGAAGGTGGACACTTTCTGAACAAATATATTAAGATAATTTTTACTGTTCCCTTGGAAGACAAAGTTACACAAAGTATAAAATTACACAAAGCATAAAATTACTATAATAAAGAAAGGATTATGCAATACTGAATTCATGTTAAAGAAAAACTATTAAAGAATAACAGTCATTTTTAACAAAGTATATTAATTTATCAATGATTAAAGTAAAAATCTTGTGTAATATGCCACAATCATGCTCATGTTTAATTACATTATTGCAACCATGTTTATATGATTCTTCTCTATAAGCCAAAAATAATACTTGAAATTATATATTATGAAGAACCTGCTATTAAATAAACACAAGTGGGAAAGTACTTTAATGTATATGTCCTCATCTTAACTTGATCATATCTGCAAACACCCTATTTTCAAATGAGGTCATATCCACAGATTCCAGGTGGGCATGAATTTTTGAAAAGCATTTTCAACCTAGTTCTCTACCAAAACAAGTACTTTTAATAACAATTTTAAACAATGACATGTATCTCCAGTGAGTATAACAAAAGTATTTTAAATTTTTTACAATATGTCCATTTATACCAGTATTTTCAGTGATGTATTGTAGATCATTGTATAGATTGTTAAAATATAAGTAATTAAAACTGTTAAATTAAAATTTAATAAATTAAGAACAAATTACTTTTCAAAAAACATTTTTGTAAACACAAATGTATTGAAGACTGAAGATTATCTTAAACCTATGATACGTCATAGTTTGCTAGACATAGAGTTTACTAGTAATAAAATCTATTTGTTAGTATTTTAGTGATAGTTGACTTCAAAATTCACAACTGGGATTATATTTTTTCTCCACTGGTTAAAGTGGTACTATTTATCAGTTAATATCTGATATAGTAAAGGAAATAAAATATATGAATATTTAGTATTTGTCTTTGTTATACAAAAGACAGTAAAACCTAA